TAAATATTTAAAAGCAAATTATGCGTGCCAAATATGCTCCCATATGCGTGCAAATTCATGTGTTAAGGCATTTTACTGACTCCATACTCGTCACGAATACTTTTACGTTCGAAGATAGTTCTCGATGAAACAATCAGAAAATAGGAATCAAAAATTAAAAAACTCTTTTGTGTTTATAATATATGTCGTCGTTACGAATGTCTTTACACTTGAAAATAGATTAGTTTCGAGTCGCATTGCGTCTGGATATCTAAGCATCATGATTATTGATTTTAAGAAAAATTGGCAATGTTATCACCAAATGATAGTTGAAAAATTATATTACATTCTGTTAATTATATTACATTTTTCTTAATCTTATATTTCATGTCATATAATAGATTAAACAGCTAATTGCTAATTAATCGTTAAAAAATTGCCAAACTAACAGTTATGAATATCTAGATGCGATACGATCTGAAAGTAATTATAATCGAATGTGAAGAGGTCTTCGTGATGCTAATATGTATTATAAAAGTGCAAAAGCGTTTTTTTATAGCGATCACATTTTCGGCCGAATGATATGATAAATGCGTCTCGAAAAGGATTATGCACAGTTTATGATTCGGTGTTTATAATCCAATTACAATGCACTTGTCTTATTTACTATCACAATACGCGTGCGTACATCTTTTATGTATACATATATGTGTTATGGATTTGTGAGCATCGCTACAGGGGCACAAAACAACAGTATTATTACTTCTCATATAGATGTTCAATGTATATTTGGTGTTTTGTCTTTACGATATCTGACTATGGGAAACAGATACGAAATCATATGCACGGAGAAAATTTTACAGTGCAAATTACATAAAAAATACATCCCTGTAAACCTTTCTCGAGCAGAGGAAAAGTATCAGGGTTCTACCGAGACTCATTCTTATGACCTTTTTCTCAATAGACAGAAGTTCTGCCATCGAGCCCCCTTCCCCCCATTCCCTCCCCTATCTCGTCACTTCATTCCCTTTTACAACATTTATTGTAAAGCTGGAATATAATAGCATTAAGATATTTAACTATAAAAATTATAAATTATGCATTTGTTCTATTATTTTATTGATGATTATGTATTTATTTGTACGTCAAAATATTTGAATAATTACAATATGTAAAATATAATACATATATAATATTATTAAATAAAAATATCGTGATTTCTTTTATATGTTACTATGTTCCACGTAATTTTTACTATAATATTTTCTCCGTCTGATACAGTATAAAACCGTAAATATAGAATCATACGCGAATTTGTATGTGTGAATATGTGTTTGTGAAAAATGTGTCAAAATTGTATTTATTAATTAATATAAGCATTGAGCAAAATATGGAAAATTAAACTTTAAAATTAGTAATAGTACGTGTCAGAATATATGCCTAAAAATAAATACTGGATTAATATATTATATCTCTATAAAAAAAAAACATTAATATAATTACATGTCAGCTATATATATGAGAAGTATGCATTCGTATGATGCTGATGCATAAGCTTCTTTGTGTCTTGTTTAAAGTGTCGTATAAAATATTTTAAGCTCGAAAGCTAATGTTGTCCTCAGATATCTGGTAAATATTATATGCTACATGAACAATGTACAGGTTTAAATGGACGTTTCCATACAAGTATGTACCTATCTGCTAATAAATTCAGCTATTTCAAACTTGTATATATCAATAGAACAAGTATCAATTATTCGTTTTGGTACCATACTCATATACATATACATTTTAGTACAACACTCAACAATATAATCTGAATAAAAATCTCTAGGGTTTTTACCAAATATGCTGAATTAAATTTTTTAGTTTTTTATAAAGACAAAAAGCTGATGTAAAAATATAAATAAAATAAAATATTATTTCTCCATTTTTATCATAGTTCTTACAAGTTTTTAAGTCTAAAATTATTAAATAATAATATTATATAAGTAATATTAT